CAATTTTTTGCGGCCCGGGCCATGGAATCCAATGCAAGCCTCTAGATCAAAGTTTTTTTTTTCTTCTGAACTCCTCTATATTTTCAGTATACAAGTTAAAAGCATTCTTGTACAAGATAACTGGCAAGAAGGTGGTGTTCTTATACAGAAAATTTTAATAGAAGCTTAGCTTTTGCTGACAAAGTTAAAGATAGTTGGTCTAAGGAAAACAACAAGTAAGTTTTCAATACACTCTTTATTGAAATTTAAGAATATCTGCAAATTGAAACCCTTTACCAAAGCTTTACTTTTTGTTCTTTATAAAATTTTAACAAAAAGTGAAAAAGTAAGTATATCTTCATCAAAGAATTGATAACAACAATTACTGCCAAAAAAGAAAAGTTATGTACAGAGGTACGTATCTACTTTGGGATAAATAATGTCTAATTAGTTACCTCAAAAGGTTACAGTGTTTATACTGAAATCTATAGAAGCTAAAAAAGAGCATGGTGTACAATCCTGGTAGTACAAACTTCTAAACTTAAAATTTATGACTTAGAACTGATCTGTCTAATAAAGTATAAGGTTGATCGATCACATGAAATTAGATGATTGGTTATATTAGTACATATAATAATTAACTAATTAATTTTTATAATATTGTAATAATGTCTGAAAAATCTTTATTTACTAAATCAAAGATATCTCACAATCCAGTAGTCAGAATTTGATGAATCTTATACCATTTAATTCATCTCAATAAGACAAATCGAATGGTATAAGATTCAACAAATCTTATCTACTGAAACGTAAGATATTAACGATTTATAATCTCTTATTCGCTTATATATTTTTTAATAAAATTTTATTTTAAATGCATGTATATTGTTTCTACTTAATCTATTCAATAAATATACTCGTTAAATCGTTTCTAAATCATTCTTATTTGTATTTTAAATTGTAGTAGTTAAAATATTAAAAATTTAACTTACAAAATAATAACACATTCATTTGTAATATACATTTAGATTTAAGCTATATAAAATAAGTTACTTATCTTTTTATTCAGTTTTTTGTATTAGAACTACTTTAGGTTCATTTTTGCTTTTTATTAAAAATATTAAAACTTGGTTTTATGCTGTTTACTTTTTAGTTTTAACACCAAAAAACCTTTTTTTGTTCGAATTTGAATTTAATTACCTTTGATTTCTTATAAAATTCGTCTTTAATAAAACTTTTTGAATATTGTGATTATTTTTAATTAATTTTAATACAAGGTAGGTTATGTAGAGCCTTTTGCTGACTTTCTTTTTAAAACAAATTTAATTAATAAGTTTTAAAAAATCATGAAAATATAAAGTACTTTAAACTAATAAAAAATTAAAAAATTTTTTTTATTAAATTGGCTAAGCCACAATGTTAATTACCATATTTTCGCGAAATAACAGGCATGGGCGTTATTTCAAATAATGGCCTGAATTAAGCCTAATTTAGGCCGAAATTCATAATTTCACCCCTGCGCGTTATTTCGCGAAAATACAGTATCTAAATTTGGATTTATCCACTATGCTCTAAAAAAGCATGAATTGCTTAACTTTGTCTAAAGACAAGCTTTAGCATGAAAATATGTTACAGAATACTGCACTAAACCTGGTGAGACCACAAAAGAAATTTTGAACTTGGCTTTTACTCAAGAATAGATATTTTATATATCCTAATATAGACATATAAATAATTAGTATAGAGTTTAGACCAAATTATTTAGTAGTACTATATAATTTTTACAATTTAGCATAGGTTTAATAGTACTATCTTTGTTGTTTTTTCTTTTATTTTGTTTTTCTTTTGGTTTTATTTGATTAGATAGATCAAAATTAGATATCGAAGGGTTTGGGCCCTGTAGCTTATTGGTTAAGCTCCCAAACTCCCACAGACAAGGTCGATGGTTCGAGTCAGGCTAGCAGCAAATTTTGAATTTGTTACTATAACCTTAAGGAGTCAAATCAAATGCGAAGCCCTGTGGAAGTTCACGTGCAAGTACAAAATTGGATTAGAAATTCCCAGAAGGAGACCCATTTATGGAGTGCAGGCACTACATGTAGTAGCGGCGTTACAAAAGGTTCAGTTACTGAAAATCGCACATATAAGTCCTTGTACGCAGGCAGCACCAACATCTTTGTACTTCCAGTTTAAGCAGCACCAACATCCTTATACCCAACTTGTGGAGAACTTGCTTGGGAGCATAATTAGCGGATTGTGCATATTAGTCCTAAACTGGTATTACAGTACTGGATTTGATTGGAAGAGTGATACAACAGTAGCTAAAACTGGAGTAGTGAGAGAAGTAATGAACATAAAACTGGTTTGTGGTAAAGAATTGGCCTTACTAAATTTAGAAGCACCTCTGGCATCTGCTTGAAAGACTAGAATTAGAAAGTTCTAAATATAGAGAATAATGATGCTATTTGAAACTATATAGTTTCAGATTGACCGAAACCGAAACTGGTATTACCAGTTTCGGGCATGATCTTCTTGGCCGAAACTTGCCTAAAGACCCGAAACTATACCAATATACCGAAACTGTACTAAACTCTGAAACTGGTCTGCTAATTAAATATACATAAATTAAAAAAAATTTAATTATATTAAAGCACAAATATCCGTCTGTTACACTATTAACCAATCCGAAAATTCAATATAGTATTTCCCTATTTACTGAATGTATATAAATTGCTAATCATTATAATACCATACTTGTGATTATCTGATTGGAGTTAGTGCTCATACCTGGATAACTCTTTATCCAAAAGGTTGTAATCTTTAACAAAATCTAATAACCGGTTTTATATTCTATTCAAATAAAGGATAAGTATAAAATATTAGGCAAAATTTGTGAATAACTGTAATTTAGCAAAACTGAAGCAAATGAATATATGCTGCGAAGCGGCACGTAAGCTAATCATTTGGCCGGTTGAGCCAAATTATCGTATTCGACAAATTGCCCAATATTGATGTGTATCTGGCAATTTATGTTCATGATTGGTAGAGAGTCATCAACTGAGTTTTAATTTGAATAAACATGATTACATCGTAACACATGAAAAAAATAACAAGACAGATGGCAATTCATGATCATAAGAGTTTGCCAGATAAGTGTACATTATTGGGCAGATGACAAAAAATAACGGCAAATTGTTTTTTTTGTCAGAATTAATGTCACTCCATGTGCTGCGTAGCAGCACATGAGTGAAATTAACTCTGATAAAAAAAAACAATTTGCCGTTATTTGTCATACGTATGCCCAATAATGATGTTATCCAATAGTTAATATGATCATGTGAAGTTTTTTTCGAGATATTTTGCAAAACTGGTTATGTAATTTCATACAAAAAATATCATAGCAAAAAAATTCACATGATTATATGAAATGTCAGATAATATTACAATATTCCGCATCATTTTTGATTCTTAATTGGCATGTATTATTTGTGAATCGTGAAATGTTATTTGTCATTTTAAAAAACCACTATCTATTTATCAATTAATAAAAAAAAACGAAAATAATAATAATAATAATAAATTAAAAATTAAAAAAAAAATAATAAATAAACGCAAATAAAAAAATCATATTCAAATATTTATAAAACAAATAATAAAAAAAAATAAAAATAAATAAATAATTAAATAAAAATAATAATTAGAAAAAACTTATTTAAATTAATAAAAAAAAACCATTTAAATTAAAAAACGTATTTAAATTAAAAAATATTTTAATTAAAAAATTTAGCTGGCCAATCAACTTTTAAGATACATCATGTAAAGTTTGTAAATCAAAATTTTTGAGTTACAAACTTTGCATGTGATCTTAAAATATGATTGACCGGCAAAATTTTTTGAATTGAAAATTTAAATTTTTTTATTTTATATTTACCGGTAGTTATTAATTTAATTTTTTTATTTATTTACTTTTATTTAAATTACTTTTTTTGTTATAATTTGATTTTTTTATTGGTAAGCCTTTTTTTTTTTTTTTTTTTTATAGTCAAGGTTAGCCTCTTTAGTTTATCGCTTTTATTAGATATTAGGATCATGTGGTGCCCTTATCAAAGAGGCCCCAGACAAGTACATTCTGACGAAGATACATTCTAGTCATATCTGCACCTTTTGAGTGCCTAATTAAGTATACTACCTATGTGCTAGGTACTACACTAGATGTCGTACCTGTAACCTACTATTACTTGAGCTATCCAATTAAACCCTCTGATCTGAGTTTCCTATGTCAATCCAATTAGTAAGCCTCTTTACTACCGTACTAAGTACCATATAGAAGAAAAAATGGCTTTCTTCATTGTGTTTTGCGTTGAGTCCCTATTTGAGAAAGATGGTAGGAGAGTGTTGTTAGGAAAGTGTTTGTGTCGAGAAGTAGTGGGTAGTGTTGGAAGGGTGAAGAGGTAGTTGTCAGGCATGGGTAATGGTTGTTAAATATGTGAAGTGGTTGCATTGAGAATGAGAGGTAAAAATTCACCGAGTAAGTGATTATATACAAAAAAAATTGCGGGAAGTCAGGGAAGTGGTGGGTAGTATTAAAGAAGAAAGAAGGGGTGGTTATTGGAGATGTGAAAATTGTGAAGATAGGATTGTCAAATCATAAGTAATTGTGTCAAGATAAATAGTCATTGGTAAGTAGTACGTCAGAAAGGATTTGTCAGGGAAATGGTTACCGGGAAAAGAATTTGGCATAGCTTTGGACTTTTGGGTTTAAATTTAAATAAAAAAAGAGTTTTGGACAGTATCATTATTAATATAAACTTAGTTTCAGAATTTTGGCATAGTTTCGGTATTTCGGCATAGTTTCGGAATTTCGTTATAGTTTCAAATTAGTTTCAGGCAAAATATTAGAGTTTCGGTTTCAGTTATTAGCTCAAAATAGTTTCGAGCAGCATCATTAATAGAGAAATGGTGCTTATTTAAGAAATGTGTAAAATATTCAAAATGGCCAGGGGACACTAGGCTGGTAGTACTTATGTATGAACAGGTATAACAGCATTGCAAGAGCATACCAACTTTAGAATACCAACCAAGTTGAAATACCCAAGTTGGAAGTAATCAAGTATTATGAAATCATATTGGAAGTAACTTCAGGATAAATTACGCAACATAGCCTATACCTTACCAACTTACAGGAGTTTCTGTTTAAAAATAAGTACACAGCATAAAAGTACAAATAAATAATTATAAGAGCTGCTGAGGCTAGTACCTTGAAGAAAAAAGAAAAGTCTAGAAGGGGCGTTAATAGATAAAGGCAAAAGATATGCAATCTGAGATATTGAGCTCAGTATCTGAAGAAAACGCTGACTAACATCTATTACCAAATTAGAAAGTAACCTGGTTATGAGGCCTTAGTTGTAATACCTATTTGGAAGTATATTTGTGGCTATATGAGTAATGTAGTGAATATATATAGAATACTAATAAGGAAGGTCAGAAAAGCAAAAATCCTGGTTAGGTTTAAACAAGTAATACCCATTGGGTAAAACTTAGGTCGCAGATAAAGTAGTCTGAATTCTCTGTATTTAAAGTTGCTTAGTTGTACTACATCGTAATGTATCTATAATTAGTAAACCTAATAAAATTACAAAGGGTAAGACCTCACTTTCAAAACAAAAAAAAAAAAAAAAAAATTAGATGTCAAAATATCATCTCTTTTTTTTTTTGCTCTTTGATTTTGTGTTTGTACTTTATTTTGTAAAAAGAAAAGATGATACTGATATGGTATATAGCACTGGCCAATGATCGAAGGATTTATGTCTCTAGGAAGTTAAAGGCCTAAAAGGAGACAAAAAGCTACTAGGCAATGTTGCATCTAGGCTTTTAAGCTAAGTGAGTCACTTGTTATAATTAAAGAAAGATTAACTATAATTAAAAATTCTTGTAATTTTTGCTTGATTATTGTATTAATAAAACAGTAGCAGGATATGCTAAAAAAAAAGATGATTTAACTACCAAAATGTTTACCTCAATAAGATGATTTTACAAGTCCAAAATTATTAAAATCTAATTACAGAGTTCTAAGATAATTCAATTTTTGTATAATTTTAATAATGATTTTTTTTTTTTGATGTTCAGGTGGGATCTTGCCCATGACTTTATTTATTGTTAATATTTTCATTACATGTATTACTATATTTCTGTATTTACATATATCAAGTACACCAAGCTCAGACCCAGATCCTATTGGTTACTTACGCTTGGATCGAAACCATCACTTGCGCGATAGGTGTCCCTATCTGCTATCTGGCCACCAATCCATTATCTGTAATCCAAACCTACCAGAGCAGTACATCCTTATGGATAGCACTCACCCAGTATTTTTCTACCCTTCACTAGTTCTATTTTGGTACACTTCTCTATAATGTTATTCCCTGCATCTCTCATATCACTTATACCTAAACTCCCAAATTTAGTAGTCCCTTCTGAGATATGGCCTTATAGCCTCAAGGGCTACTTCCAATCTTAGTTATCTTCAGCTAGTCTGCCCAGGTAGTATCACGAAAAGAAACTCATGCTAGCCCAGGTTAAGCTTCGTCATTAACGCTTAGTTTAGTTAGTATACTGCCGATTTTTGTTACCTTTATAGGTAGGTACTCCTGTATATTGGTGCAGGCTCGCTGTATTGCGTTATAGATTACCCTATAACTTCCAGATTGTGGGTTTCGTATTACTTCTCTTTCATAGTTTGAGCTATGGTGTTCTGGTGCCCTGACATTTTAGGTTACAAAGCTCTAGAAGTCTAGACCTAGTTGCGACTTGCGGTTTGTAATACTTCCAATTTCAGTATTTGGTGTTCCTTATCAATTTCTGGTATACAAGCTCGATTTGTACAATTGTACTACCAGCCTGGTGAATCTAGCCATTTTAAGTTTTTATCACATACTCCGAGTTTCAGCCTTCTCACTCTGTCCTCACAGGTTTCTTCTTTAATAAACTAAGTGGCTTGGGACCAGAGGTGTTTCCGAATTCCGAATAAACCAATCCTTTACTACAAATCATCTTTGTATTCACTACTTTTCTCACTATTTCAGTTTTGTTACTGTCGTATTACTCTTCTAATCAAATACCCAACCGCTAGTGATGTTGGTGCTACCCTGGTCACCCCTAATCAAGGACTAATATGTGCAACCTTTCATGTAACAGAACCTTCTATAACCTGTCATACGTAGTGCTACCATTCTACGATTGGACCTCCTTTCAGAAATTTATTTTTCCGGTTTCGTACTTGCACTTAGACTTAACTACACATTCAATTATAGCCCCCTATTGGGTTACAGAAGCTAAAAATCTTAAGATTTTGCCTCCAGCCCGACTTGAACTGTCGACCTAGTCTGTGAAGGTTTGGCAGCTTAACCGCTAAGCTATAGAGCCCAAACTCCTAATAGTGATTTTTTAGAATTATTAAATAAATTATTTAAAATATAATAACTTTTGATCTATTGGCCTATTCTGAATGATTTAACTACCAAAATATTCATCTCAGTAAGACAATTTTAACAAGTTCAAAATCACTAAATTTTAATTATAATGTAGAATTCTAAAATCAATAAAGATTTGTATTATTAAACAATCATTTAATTATATATAAATTAAATAATTTCTAACAATACAAATTTTTATTAATCTTAGGATCTTGTGATTAGAATTTAGTGATTTTGAGCTTGTTAGAATTGTCTTACTGAGATAAATATTTTATAATAGTAGTTAAATTATTTAAAACAGACTAATAGATCAAAAGTTATTTATTTTTAAAAAAATTTGTTAAATAATTCTAAAATATCATTATTAAAATTATACAAAAGTTGAATTATCTTGGGATCCTGTGATTAGATTTTAATGATTTTGGGCTTGTTAAAATTATCTTATCAAAATGAGCTTTTAGTAGTTAAATTATATAAAATAAACTAGTAAATCAAAAGTTTATCAATATTAAAAATTAAAATATATGAATAATTTTTAAAAAAGGGTTATATAATTTAACGCATATGCGTTGTAACACACCCCTGATCAACCAATTAAAACGTAAGATCTGGTGTAATATTACACGAGCAGAAAAATTCAAAACAAGCGTTCATTTTGCCAAAAATCACCTATAACTCAAAATTTCGCATATGCAAATACCTTTCGGGTCTTAACAAAAAAAATTTCTTGCAAGATTTTACTATAGGCCCATCTTTTATAACTATCTTAACCTTACCTTAACCTTATCTTAATCTTACCTAACGCTAACCCTAATCATATAAAAAACTATTGTTTTGATTTCATATTACACCTGATCTTATAGGGATGCGTTACAACGCATATACGCAAAATAATAAAATTCTTTAAAAAATACTATATAAAATTTGATTAGCTAATAGAGTATCACATATGAGTGAATGGAGTAAAATTTTGAAATTTATTAGTAACTAAAAATTATATAATTTCTGGAAGTCCCTTAAGTGAATATAATATTAAAATTTAATATTCTGCAATTACTTCTAAGAGTATTTATAAACAACTAGCTATACTGAACAGATATATCTAAAAGATATATTATGATAAATTTCAAAGAAATTATTTATCTCAGAAAGCACTATTAGACCACTACTCTATAATAGGATACTATCAATCTAATGATATCTTCTTGTAAAGAAACAGAAAAAAAAAGCATTAATACTAAAAAAAAAAGGGAAATAAGAAATGAGAGAAAAAAAATCTGACAAGTTATAATTATAAACTTGTATCAAACTTTTAAAAAATTATATATTACAAGATAAAAAAACTTTGCATCTAACTCTATTCTAATAATATATATATCTATAAAAAATCTACAAAGAAAAAAAAATATAAAATAAACTAGAAAAACTAAGTTCAACTAGACAGAGTAGTTTTTAAGATAGTCTTAAAGTATCATTGGCAGTTTACAAAAATCAAAACACATTATCACTATATTGTCTCAATTATCTATTTTGTCTAACTATCTGCATAACATCTTTTATTTTGAGTAATTGTTTATATATTAGTCTACTAGTTTACAAAGTAAATAAACAATGTAAATATCTGTATTAGGAAATCAATTATATTAACTATTTTAGTAAATTTATATATTGATCTTTTGAAATGAGTAAACTAAGATGCCTACTTTTTGATAAAATTTTTTTTAAAAAAAGTAATAGATCAATAAAGCTTTTTTGTTGTTGTTTTTTGTAAGTTTTATAATTATATAGTAATAATTTAAATCTTTAATATTTTCAGTATCAACTTAGTTGTTCTGTATTTTCAAAATATTCTTTTGGTTTGAATATTAAATATAATAAAGAAGTTTTTTGCAAAAAAATTTGACCTTTACAACCAAAGTAGTTTATGCCTTAGTTTTACACTCTTGGTATTTTGTTAACAATACACTTACTTGCATAGAATTAAGATTATTAAGTACTTTGATATCTTTTATAACATTTTTTCATAATTCAATTTTTTAAAGTTGTTAACCAGAGGATTGTTGAAAAGAATTGTGTATATGATATACAAGAAAATTTTCATAACAAAGATATACTAATAATACTAACAGAGTTATATTACAAAAAGTTTAAAATAGATAATACTCATAATTAAGTTACA